GTTAGTGTTTAATGGGGACAGAGTTTAAGTTTGGGAAGATGGAAAAGTTCTAGAGATGGATCATGGTGATGGCTGCACAATATTGTGAATGTACGTGATGCCACTGAATTGTACAATAAAAATGGTTAGAATGGTAAACTTTATGTTATGTATATTTCACCATGATAAAAAATTTTTTAAAAAGTCAATGTTAAAAAGAAAAGTAAGGAGCAGCATGAAGGGGCATTGAAGAAAGGGCGGGTGCCTCTGCTTTGGGGTGCCTCCCTCTAGGACATCAATTTTTCATAAACAGACTTTTGGAGAAATTCTTTTCCCCTTCCAGGACAGTCTCTACCGCGACCCCAGTATGAGCAAGTGCCAAATCCAGGAAAATAGGACCTCTCCACCCTCGAACACCTGTGGCCTCTCTGCTCATTCCAGGCACAAGTATTTGGATCTGAAAAGTTGACAGAAGGAGATTTCAAGATGCTGTTTTACTTGACACATAATTCATTTTCTTTTTATGTAACACTTTACAGAAAATACTTTCACACACGTGTGTTCACTTCACCAACCATGTGAGGTAAACAGAGTGGGTCTTCCCATTTCCAGTGGAGGAGACAGGCTTGAAGAATTTAAGTGACACATCCAGGTTAGGGGGCTGGGGGACAACAGAGCTGTGAGCAAAGCCATCCTTGGTCTTAGCCTGGTACCAAGTCCACTCTGGTTTGTTTATGGAGCTGCCTCAGACTTGACTAAGTCAGGTCAGGTAGGTAGACCAAGGTAGGTTCCTGGGGCTACCCTAGTTGGCTCTGCCCTTATCTGGTCCAGACGAATTTCTAGAGGCAGGAGTGACATTTTGCCTCACACGCCTGTTTCACTGGCAATTCAGGACTGTTACCATATTAGTCAGTTTTGTATTTTGGCAGGTGACAGTGCTTTAAAGAGAGTTACTGCAATTGTGCAAAAGTATTACATTACAGCAGAATGGGAGAAAATATTTGCAAGTCATTTATCTGATAAGGATTTGAATCCAGAATATATAAAGAACTCTTCAACTCAACAATAAAAAGACAAAACCCCCAGTTTTAAAAGGGTAGAGGTTTTGAATAGCTGTTTCTCCAAAGAAGATACACAAATGGCCAGTAAACACATGGAAAGATGCCAATATCATTAGCCAACAGGAAAGTGCAAATCAAAATCACAATGAGACACCACTTCATATCCACTAGCATGGCTACGATCAGAAAGACAGATAATAGCAAGTGTTGACACGGATGTGGAGAAATTAGAACCTTCATACACTGCTGGTGGGAATGGAAAATGGTGCAGACCCTGTGGAAAACAGTCTGGCGGTTCCTCAAATTCTTAAACATAGAGTTACCATAGGACACAGCAATTCCACTCCTAGGTATACAACCAAGAAAAATGAAAACATATGTTCACAGAAAAACTTGTACATGAATGTTCATAGCAGCATTATTCATAATAGCCAATCAGTGGAAACAACCCAAATGTCCATCAACTGATGAATGGATAGACAAAACATGATCTGTTCACAGAGTGAAATATTATTCGACCACTAAAAGCATAAAGTACTGACATGTGCTACCACATGGATGAACCTTGAAGACATTGTGCTGAGTGAAAGGAGGAAGGGGGCTCAAGGGGGCCCAGGGATGGGGAGTGAGGAGTGACTGCTAATGAGACAGGGTTTCTTTCTTTTCTTTTTTTTTGGACTACACTGTACAGCTTGTGGGATCTTAGTTCCCTGACCAGGGATCGAACCCGTGCCTCCTGCAGTGGAAGCCTGGAGTCCTAACCACTGGACTGCCAGAGAAGTCCCAAAGATTTCTTTTTAGGCTGTTGAAAATGTTCTAAAATTAGATTATGGTGATGGTGGTATAACACTGTGAATTTACTTTAATTATTAAACTGTACACTTTAAATGGATACATTTTATATGTGAACTATATCTCAATAAAGTTGTAAAAAATAGCATTTTGGTTTTAGAAATATCTGGGGGAAATTTCAACTCTATCTATCAGATGGTATTTGGGAGTTGTTAATTTTGTTGGGAGCGCTAACGGTATTATGGGACGGGTTTTACAAGTCCTTATCTGCTGTAGATGGAAAATGCTTTTCAGAGAAATCTGCAAGGTCCAGATCCCTCACATATGCATGGAATCTTCCCCTCTCCCTGTCTCCTGGGGTAAGCCGGGGACCAAATAACCAAGGTAGGAATCATCCCACGCCCACATGGGTGAGTACAGGGCAAACTCAGAAAACATGGTGACACTTAACAGACTGCTCCATGGGTAAGGCTGCACACAAAAGGAGAGAGGTTATTTTCTCATATGGGGTAGCCGATTGTAAGTCAGCAGGTCAATGTTTTGTGTTGAGACCCTCTGGTGGAACCACACATGGGGACTCCCACATTTGAAGAAGTGAGTACAGACCAGCAAATGTGGCTGAGTGCCCAGGGGCCTTCTACCAGGACTTCAGACCCTCATGGGCACTCCTCACCTGGAGCTGAGCCTTACCTGTCAAAGGAAAACTGGGCTGGGGGAGGCAGCAGCATCACAGGCTTGAAAACCTTTTGGGAGTGCGTGATATTCAGAGTGGTGATTTTGTCACATTTATTCAAGGTCCACAGTTGAACAGGTACCCAAAGACATTAAGATTCAGCAATTATTAATTTCATAATCAGAAGACAGAAAACACACGTACACGGGTTCTTCAAAACATACCAAGTAAACAAAGCTCTTATTTTAAGAGAGATTTCCTGTCCCAAATCTAAGGAAAGTGGAAATCTATGTTCCTTTGCTTTTAGGAGAGATCGTCTTTGACTAACTGAATTGATTCACTAGATGGATGTGGTCGGCTGAATCACAGTCCCCGCCAAAGAGGTCCACATCCTAATCCCTGGAACCTGTGAATGTTCCCTTATATGGCAAAAGGGATTTTGCAGGTGTGTTAAGGATCTAGAGATGGGGAGATATCTCAGATTATCTGGGTGGGCCCAATATAATCATAAAGGTCCTCCTAAGAGGAAGGCTGGAGGATCAGAGTCAGAAGAGAAGGTGATGTGATGACAGAGATTGGACGGATGCATTTTGAAGATGGAGGGAGGGGTGCACTTTGAAGATGGAGGGAGGGGCCACAGGCCAAGGAATGCCAGCAGCCACTAGAAGCTGAAAAAGGTGAGGGAACAGATTCACCCCTCAGAGCCTCCAAAGGAACCAGCCCACCTGACACCTTGACTTCTATTCAGTGAAGCTGATTTCGGACTTCTGACCTCAGGAACTGTAAGAGAAGACATTTGTGTTGTTTTAAGCCACTAAGTTTGTGGTCATCTGTTATAGCACCAAGAGGAAACGAATACAGACGTAAATATAATTAGGGAAGTTACTAAGAAACAACAGTGAAACTGGCCTGGAGAAAAAAAGGTGGTAACAGAATAAGGAATCAGGAGGCTCTGACCGGTGAGAGGCAGGGGACAGGAGTGAGATAACAGGCAGGCCTAACAATAAAGATAAACTCTTCTAACATCTAACATAATTGTTGGGAAAGGGACCTTGGATTAGATTCTGAAGGGCCACCAAATACCAGGAAGCAGGCCACTGGGCTCTCATTAAGTCTCTCTCTGCCCAAAAGATGAGAGGTTTTGTCTACTGCATTTAAAGACTGCCACCGGAATCTCTGATTCAGGCAGGAATGGGCCCCAAGGTGAAGCAGGGGCCCTCAACTCTTCAATTACTGAACACCTATTTCTCCTGGCTGGGTGTGGGCTAAGTTCTAAAGCTCAAGTGATGGAAAATCAAAGTTCTATCCTTAAAGAGATTTTAACGTATATAGCACGGTTCCCCAACCTTGGTACTACTGATATTTGGAACAGATAACTGTTTGGGGGCCGTCCTGTGCACTGCAGGATGTTTAGCTACATCCTTGGTCTGTATCTACCAGAGACCAGGAGCTACGCTCCCTTCCCCCAAGTCATAACAACCAACGGTGTTTTCAGACGTTCCCAAATATCCTCTAGGGGGCGAAACTGCTACCAGGTTGAGCGCCACTGGTGAAGTCTACCTCTGCCTAGAACTTGTCAGAGGAGGCTTTGCAGAGCTGGCAACCCTTGTGAGATGTGAGAGGGAGTGGGGGCGGCGGGTCCTAAGGGCAAAGGAAACAGTGTGTGCAAAGACCTGGGGGACAGGGCTGCCCATGTGAGCACCTGTCCCTCTGTGGTCAGAGGAACCTGAGATCCTTGGGGTAGGGGGGACACACAATAGCACAACCACAGCCCTGAGGTGGCCAGCAGTGACCTGAGGATACTGGTGCTTTAGGAAGAACGCTACCTGCACCTGTTTCCTGCTTGACATACTGCATCCTCCTACCAAAAGTCTTCTCTAAACTGGGAGATCCACTGGCTTGCCCAGTGTGACTAAGAATTATATACTGATTGGGTTATAATTTCCATTTTGAGAGAATGAGGGGTGGGATTAGATGATCTCTCAGGCCTAGTTCTAGAACTTTAACATTTTACATAAATACATTTTGTCATTTTTAGAAACTTCTTTGAGGTATAACTTACATATCATAAAATTAATGAATGTTTCAATGATTTTGGGTACTTGTTCTGAAATAATTCAGTTTTAGTATATTTTCATCACCCCAAGCATTTTGTTATTCTTAAAGCTACTGGCCTAAGTGAGAAAGGAAAGTAGGAAGGATTCCCTTTGCTGTCTTAGCAGTCTTGCTTCTTGTAGCTTTTCCTTATCACTATGGATGGGGGGTTGCAGCAGCTGTGATTTTTCTTTTACCAAATCAAAGGTGCTTTGATAAAAAAGAACCTTTAGTGTGTGTGTATGTGTATTTATTTGGTAAAAGCACTAATACTTGGAGACCCCCTCCTCACACAAACGTGTCCATACTCCCACTTCATGCTTCCTTTGTTATGAACAGCCAGGAATGACAGGAAGAATATTAGGGGATTTACATTCCAATGAACTTCTGCCTTGAAATTCTTGCAGATCACTCATCTTTATTAAAGGAGTGTGTGCAATGATAAAGATTGTCCGGTATGACAGCAAATGTATAACTATATATAGGATTTATCCTTGAACAGATTTAGAGGATAAATAAAGCAGCAGGACATTTAACATCAAGGTGTGGGGCACATCTGCAGGATCATCCTGATTCTCCCTCAGTAGTGACTCCCCGTTCACCAACAGACACCCCGGTGCTCTCTGACCCATTGCATAGACCTGCCATCTCTTCCCCCATCATCGTACATGACCCCATGCACGATCAAGTCCCCCGTCAGCCTCTTCCCGACCGGTGCCTCACCAGCCCGATGGGCACCATCACTCCTCAGGGATCTCGTTTTCTCCCTTGTAAGTCACGCAGATGGTCTTTGTGATTTACATGCAAGCGAGGGGAAGGAGAAATGCAAGTACCTTCTTCCGAACAGAGAGGACCCAGCCCTGCTTTCAGTCCCCATGGTGGAGTCTGTGATGCTGGTGAAGGTTTGAGCTCTGGCGAAAGCTTTTCCCACACTGGCCGCACTGGTAGGGCTTCTCTCCGGTGTGGATCCTCTGGTGCAGCTTCAGGGTGGACTGCCGCCCGAAGCAGTTCCCACACTCTCCACACGTGTAGGGCCTCTCCCCTGTGTGGACTCGCTTGTGTCTTTTCAGCTCTGAATTCCACGTGAAGCTTTTCCCACAGTCATCACATTTGTATGGTTTCTTCGCCGAGCGGGTCGGCTGGTGACCAAGACGTTGCAAACGGCTGCTCAGGTTTCTTTTGCTTCCCTTGCTTTTCTTCAGCTCTCTCAGTGGGTGGCTCTTCAGGGTGCCGCTGATGTATTCCAGTTCCCTGCAATGTCTCTGGTAGTGAGCAAATGGCTTTTGAGCATGCGGGGGGCTGACCTGCCTCCGTGACAACCGGGGCTCACTCACAGTCGCCCCTCTGGGTTCAGGGCTCTGCAGACCATTCCCTTTGGGCCTGCCCACTGACAACGTGCCTGGCTTTGCTCCTTTAGCCCCCTCCTGCTGTGGATTTTCCTTGTTGTCACTTTTCATTCTGGAGGCCTCTATAATTATAAAGAATATGTTTCACTTCTGGGCTTCGAAGAAAGAACCCAAGCAAAAGAGCTATGAGATACACGGCAAAGTTTCTCAAAGTGCTGTTCTCCACTTGGCAACTTGGATTAGACTTATCTGGGGCAGCTGTCCACCAAGCAGGCTGCCCCTGCTCCCCCAAGGCTGCTGAGTTAGAATCTCTGGGGGATGGAACCTGGAAGTCTGCAGTTAACAGGGGGAAGCTGGGGTGATTCTGATGTATACTAAAGTTAGGAAACAAGTTCTCCAACCCCTCCCTCCTTCCTACCTTTGGGGAAAGGTTTAAGAAAGGAGAAATAGGGAAAAGCAAACCCATCAGAAATTTCAACATTGCAAATATACCCTCACTTACATGGACACTGACCACCACTCTCTTCAAATAATGGTAAATCCAGTGAGTGTGGTATTTTCTTCCATTATGAAGTTGATAGACAGCATATGTGATTGGAAATTGGGATATGGGCCAGACATGCACCCTCATTACAGAAACTCCACAACAGTGCTATTATCCAACAGGATTCCTGCCATGTGGAAGATCTATTCAGTATGGCAGCCACTAGCCACATGTGGCTACTGAGTACTTGAAATGTGGCTTGTGTGACTGAGAAACTGAATTTTTAATTTTATTTAACTTTAATTTAAATTCAGATTTAAAAAGCAGCCCATGCAATTATGGTCAACTGTCCTTCAACAAGGTTGTCATGATAATTCAATGGAGTAAAGAATAGTCTTTTCAACAAGTGGTGCTGAACAACTGGATTTCTACATACAAAAGAATGAAGTTGGACCCCGACTCACAACACATACAAAAATTAACTCAAAATAGATCAAAGACCTAAATGTAAGGGCTAAACCTATCTCTCTTTGAACAGAACGAAGGTGTAAACCTTTGTGATGGTGGATTAGGCAATAGTATTTTCGATACGTTACCAAAAGCACAAGCAAACAAAAAGATAAATTGGACCTCCTCAACATCCAAAACATTTGTGCTTCAAAGGATACTATCAAGGAAGTGAAAAGATAACCCACATAATGCGAGAAAATATTTGCAAATTATACATAAGGGTCTAGTATGCAGATTATACAAAGAACTCTTACAACAATAAAAAGACCAATCCAGTTAAAAATGAGCAAAGGGGACTTCCCTGGTGGCAGAGTGGTTAAGAATCCACCTGCCAATGCAGGCGACACAGATTTGAGCCCTGGTCCAGGAAGATCCCACATGCTGCAGAGCAACTAAGCCCGCGAGCCACAACTACTAAAGCCTGCATGCCTAGAGCCCGTGCTCTGCAACAAGAGAAGCCACAGCAATGAGAAGCCCGGACACTACAACGAAGAGTACCCCCGCTCACTGCAACTAGAGAAAGCCCATGCACAGCAATGAAGACCCAACACAGCCAAAAATAAATAAATAAATAAATTTTAAAAAAATGAGCAAAGGATCTGAATAGACATTTCTACAAAGAAGATACACAATTGGCCAACAGGCACATGAAAAGATGTTCAACATCATCAGTCATTAGGGAAATAACTCAAAAGCTCCATGAGATACCACTTCATGCCTAATAGGATGGATGCAATAAAAAGGACAAAACATAACAAGTGTCAACAGGGATGTAGAGAAATTGGAATCCTCATAGACTGCTGGATGTAAAAGGGCGCAGCCACTTTGGAAAAGTCCAACCTCAAAAGATTAAACAGTGAGTTACCATAGGACCCAGCATTTCCACTCCTGGGTGTACACCCAAGAGAAATGAAAACAGACATCCACACAAAAACTTGTACACAACTGTTAACAGCAGCACTATTCATAATATCCCACAAGTGGAAACAACCCAAGTGTCCATCAACTGATAAACAGACGAAATGTCCACAGAGTGCAATATTATTCAGCCATTAAAAAGGAATGAAGTACTGACACATGCTACAACATGGATGAACCTTGAGCATGAGACTCCACCCTCTCTGGAATCAAATAAAAGGAAATGGAGACAGCATGCACACCCAGCTGCCTCTGCTGAGGCAGAAGAAGGGAGTACGTGTGGTCCACTTTCTTTAGGACCATGAAGGCCGTAGGTTATGGGGCGGGACCTCAGCCAGGGCCACAGTGCTTTCCTGCTGGATGCCCTAGGTCTTCTCCATTCATGAGTTTTGAGAATAATGAAATCAAAGTGTTTCGCTGAATGTAGCAAATCTTAAAGAATCTAGCTTTCTTGTAACCTTCTTCTCTAACCTGTTGACCATATCCTGTATTCACATCACTAAGACTGGCCAAAGTGTCACTTTCATTCAGTCAGAGAGACCACAGGACTGTGTGGAGCAGGGCCTGCAATTATACTGGCATTGTACCAGAGACAGATAAGGAAATGGACACGGACAATGTCACAGGAGGAGAAAGAGGCAGAACATAAAACGGAGAGGGTTTTTTTTCTCTAATTAGCAGAATCTTGTTTAGGTCCCTTCTAAACATGGGACCATTTTAAGTGACGAAACTCAGCCACAGCTTGAATAGAAGTTCATCAGTGGTTATATTTGGATTTGTCTTCACTATAAGTAGCTCTGAAAGGGACAGAAAAGTAGGCACTAGAATAATCCTGTGCACTGGATTCTCAAATAGTCATGAACAGAAAATGATAAAAGCACACTTTAGTAACACTACCATTCTAATTAGTGAAATTTGTTGGAGAATAAAGATCTACTATCACATACAATATTGAAAAAAAGCCCAATACCTGGTCTATGGCTTTTTAAAACCATGGAATGCTTTGATGGAGATAAAGGGATGATGAGAGGGAGAGAAGAGGCACTGAGTATTTACCTGTCTCAGCCAATTTGGGGGTTGGGTCCTGGAGGAGCAGGGATTTTTCCCAATGACGGGGGCTCCGCTGATCCTGAGATCCTGCCTGGGACGTCTCCTCCAGAGAGCTCTCCCTGGGATATGTGCTAGGAGTTTGCAGTTGAAAGTCTGGCAGTTCCTGTTCTCCAAGCTGGGATCCAGTTTTCTCCAAGAGCACCTTCTGGCCCTCCATACAAACAGCCACCTAGGAACAAGCCCCATGCATTAGAGCACAATTCAAGGACTGTCTGAGGGCAGCTTGACCTCTCACTGCTCTGTAATGACTGTTTTTCCCTGGAAATTTCTGATAATGGCCTGGGGATCAACCTTGAGAGAGAATGCTGAAACTCTCAAAGGAAGAAAAGGGAAGGACGTGCAGAATGACCAAAGGGAGGCTGCTTCAAATCAGCCGATACTTCCTGTCCTTAAAGCTTGGGGCTTTCTCAAGGCCTGGAGTCAAAGTCATCAGAGAGCAGGCACAAATATATCAGGGTCAGCCATGACATCCACGCAGCAGGTTCCTACCCTATGCTCACTTGCCTCCCTGCTTCTGCTGGAAACAGGCGCTGTAGGATCGGGAAGCAGTAGGGTGGGGGCCATTAAAAACCACCCTTACCTATAAATTGTTTTGCCCAAGGCTCTCCTGGTAAGGAGATCTCAGTAGTAAGAGGATTGCCCTACCCCTGTTCCCTAACTGCTTCCATTCACCAAAGCACATGATTGTTTGCTTCCTCCCTAGGCTCCTACTGTGGTCTGACTTGGGGGTGGGATTTGGAAGGAATACTAGCCAATTGAGCTGGAGTTTCCTAATCCAAAGGCAGTATGCAAGACACTTTGGACAAGGTCTAATGAAGTTCCCCCCAAATTAAATTCCTATCCAGTAGAATGACCCTGCTTGCTATGAATACTGACTGTAGAAAAACTTCAAAAAGAAAGGGTCAGGGGAGATCTGTCAGCAAAGTTTCAAGAGCCTTACTTGATCCTCTACTTTCTCACTGGATGCCTGTGGCTGGGTTTTCTGAAAACCTGTTACATCTCCCTAGGAGGGTGGAGGGAGGAGGGTTCCAAATAGAGGCCAGAAGCAACGTTTGAAATTCTGGACTCTATCTAGGGAGGGGTCCAGGAACCAAACACTAACCAGATGAAAAAGCAAGATGAAAAAGAAATCCTGGAGACCACAGAAAGTACCCTCCTTACCCACTGCTTTGGTCCCTTGGCTGCTCTGTAAAAATCTTCCACCAGGGTCACAATCTCCTTGCTGCTCATTGGACATTGATGCCTGGCCCGAGCCTGGATCTCCGGAGGCAGGATGTTCAGAAACTGCTCCAGCACCAGCAGCTCCAAAATCTGCTCCTTGGTGTGCACCTCAGGCTGCAGCCACTGACGGCAGAGCTGCCGGAGACGGGAGAGCGCCTCTTGGGGTCCAGACACCTCTTGATAAGAAAACCGTCTAAAACTCTGGCGGGAGAGCTCAGGATCGGGCCAGTCTTTTTGCAGAGCGGGCTCCCGTTTTTCTTCTAGTTTTGCTATTATATGTCTCTCTTGCTTGGAGGAAGCCTGAATGTGGGACTGCGAGCTCAAAGTTATCTCCATCTTAGCCGCCATTTTGGGGCTCAGGAGACAGCTTCTCTCTCCTTGTAAACAGCTCAAGCCTTCGGGATCATGGCCCTGAATGCTAGAAAGATGCTAGAAACGAAGCTCCTCTGAGGATACTGGAGAGGAAAGAATGCAAACAGAGCCTCCTCATTCGCTGAACTTGACCCCAAACTCCTGAAGACAACAGTCCCTGAGAGTGGGAAGAGTTTGTTTTTCTGCCAGTTTCTTGAACTGTCTTGCAAAGGAGAAAAGTCATAATGTCCTAAAAGGAAACTGGGGGAAAAACCGCTTTTATTTCAGCGGCAAGCACAAGAGGTCTCAGAGGAAAATGCGCAACGCGACCTAATGGGCTGGCAGGAATCCCTGGGAAAAGTTCAGGCTGTCATCCAGGTAGCCTGCACCAGCTCCCCCGCATCCTCCACAGGCCGACTTCCAGCATCTTGCCGGGCGCTACAGGGCGAGCCCAGGCAGGCCACGGCGCACGCTGGGGGTTGTGAGTTAGCGGAAACCTCCTGCTAGCGAGCAAGGTACACGGAGGCGCGGCGGCTGCTCACCCCCGAGGCTCCGAGGCCCAGCCGCTCCGGCCTCCGAGGGCGCCCGGCTCCGACTCCGCGCCCCAGCTGGCCCGGGGCTTGGCGAAGCTGCAGCACTCTGGCGCGCGGCTCAACTACGTGGCCGGGCGCGAGCCGGGGGTGGCGCCTGCGACGGCGGCACCGCCGACAGCCTCGCTCCACACGCCCACCTGCAGCCGACTCACCTCTCTGGGGACCGGGGACCCAGAACCCAGGAGCCAAGGCTGGGGGCCGGGCAGAAGCCGCTCGTCGCGGACACTCCCACTGGCTGCCGCGAAACTGTGCCACGGGAGAGCGCGCCTCCTCCGCAGAGGGATTGGCTCCTCGGGGGCGTTCTCTCTCATCTATCGGCTGCTGGGTCTGTCGATGCTGGCGAGAACGGCGCCCCGCCGTTGCAGTGCACTCCGGGAGTTGTAGTCCGCTGGCAAGACTCGTGAGCAAGCGCAGTGGGCGGATCGCGCGGGGGTTCGCGGTGCTGACTTCCGGCCCAGTGGCCGAGCGAGTTTGGGGAGTCGCGAGTGAGTGCGTCCGGTGAGTGCTCCGCGTCGGGGGGTTACTGCTGGCAGTCGTCTCAGAGGCAGTTGGGCCAGATCAGGGCGCCCCTCGCACGCTCGGCGGTCACCCTCCTGTGCCGCGGCCCCTCGCCCCGGCCCACCCGAGCCGGCCAGGGCTGTCCCGATCCCTGTGCCCCAGCGCGGACTCTCTCCGGCCTGTGGCCCTGCCCGTCTCACCCCCGGGAGACGGGAGCGGGAGCCCGCGGACTTGTTTCCTAGTCCACTTCAGCCACAGGACCTAACCCTAGCACCGAGTGCACGGGAGTACTCAGGGCATCCTTGCCGAATGAAAAGGGAATCAGCCTGGCCTTCCCTGGTGGCGCAGTGGTTGAGAGTCCGCCTGCCGATGCAGGGGACACGGGTTCGTGCCCCGGTCCGGGAAGATCCCACATGCCGCGGAGCGGCTGGGCCCGTGAGCCATGGCCACTGAGCCTGCGCGTCCGGAGCCTGTGCTCCGCAACGGGAGAGGACACAACAGTGAGAGGTCCGCGTAACGCAAAAAAAAAAAAAAAAGTGAATCAGCCTGACTACCCAGCCTCATCCTGCTTTCTGCTGAGTGTTTGGGTTGTCGCCAGAGAGAAACACATATTTGAGAGAGGAGTATTTTAAAATTAACGATGAATGGGATATTAGGGGTCAAGAGGAGTGCAGGCTCTGCCTTCTGCATGTAACTAGGATAGCACTCATTAAATTATTCTTCATCCAGAGAAGGTGTGGGATTTATGAAAATGTGTAAGGCAAGGATACAGGTTCTAGTCCTGACCTTGCTGCTGGGAAACTATGCTCTGTGATGCTCCTTTTTCGTTAAAAAGGACTGTTCACAGTAATGCCTTTGCTTTCTCTATCTCTAGCCCCTCCTGCCTCACTGAGATGTAAAGAGAATACAAGTGAAGACAGTTTAAGTACTTTGTAAGAAAGGCAACCTGAATCCATGTTTTTAAAAGTAATTTCTTTACTCCTGTAAAAGAGACTCAGGCCTCTGGAGGAGAAGGAATGGAATGGAGAGTGGGACATTAACTGCAGAAAGCTCCAGTCTTACATCCACCAAATTTAGCAATTTCCAGGAAATTCGCAACTTTTTTCACCCCAACTGTATGTAAAATCCCAGAGAATTTTGACAGTCCCAGCCTATGTGAGTTGCCCATTCCTGGGGTTGGGGGAAGGGTACTGTAATGAACAGCCCCACCAGAGACAATGAAATAGAGAGGGGCCTTTTCATAAAAGGAGAAGATGCTGCTGTCAGAAGTGGGAAGGAATGCTGGAAAATAAAAGCAAACCAGAGCAATCATTTCTTATCCTCACTGTGTGTGTGGTGGTGGTGGGAGGGAGGAGGGTGTGATAGTGATGAAGAGATTAATACTTTTCCCTCCTTAAGAAAAGGTGGCAATTGGGAGGCTGGGTCCAGGCTTCTGAGGGTAGGGAGGGCAGAGACAAGACCCAGGCACGTAGGGAACACAAGAAGGAACAGCTGGACTACACTGAGGAACAGTTTGGGGAATTTACAGAAATTTGGTTAGGGAGAAAACTATGTGTTTTTTGGGGGTTTTTAAAATTTTTTTATTTTTAATTTTTTTGCAGTACACAGGCCTCTCACTGCTGTGGCCTCTCCCGTTGCAGAGCACAGGCTCTGGATGCGCAGACTCAGCGGCCATGGCTTACGGGCCCAGCCGCTCCGCGGCATGTGGGATCTTCCCGGACCAGGGCACGAACCCATGTCCCCTGCATCGGGAAGAGAAGCCCGAAAACTATGTTTTTTGATATTTTTAGTACTTTGGCTCCTTGGCTTGGATTGAAGAGGGAGTAAAGGAAAAGGATAGAAATAAACCATAAGGGGCTTCCCTAGTGGCGCAGTGGTTGAGAGTCCGCCTGCCGATGCAGGGGATGCGGGTTCGTGCCCCAGTCCGGGAAGATCCCACATGCTGCGGAGCGGCTGGGCCCATGAGCCATGGCCGCTGAGCCTGTGCGTCCGGAGCCTGTGCTCCACAACGGGAGAGGCCACAACAGTGAGAGGCCCGCGTACTGCATAAAAAAAAACAAAACATAAGAACTAGAGTGGAGGAATATGGGATGGTTTCATGCTGTCTTTTTCGATTCTTTTCAGCCTCAATGAGCCTTTTTCAAGTGTGCGTCTGAGTCTGCATGTCTATGAAATGCTCATGTCTCTGATTCCAGAAAGACACACTTTTCACTGGTATCCAGGAGACCCGCTTCCCAGTGATAAGAAAAGAGATGGAATCTGATCTGTAGGATGGAAGTGGCAACCAGTAAGCCAGTTCGTTGAAGCAAACCATGGCTACAATAAGGAGTTCCCAGGCACACCTGTCCCCAAGCAAGGACTCCACACAGGGACAGAAATCAGCCCTGCACAACAACGGCCCTGACTATGAAGCTTCCCGCCAGCGCTTCCGGCAGTTCTGCTACCAGGAGGTAGCTGGTCCACATGAAGCTTTTAGCAAACTCTGGGAACTCTGTTGTCAGTGGCTGAGGCCTAAGACACACTCAAAAGAGCAAATCCTGGAGCTGCTGGTTTTGGAGCAGTTTCTGACCATCTTGCCAGAAAAGATCCAGAGCTGGGTGAGGGAGCAGTGTCCAGAAAATGGTGATGAAGCTGTGGCTCTGGTTGAGGATGTACAGAGAGCACCTGGGCAGCAGGTGAGAAAAGGCAGTCAGAACCTTGTGGTTTTAGTCATGAAGAAGTTGGTGTGAGGAGCTCAAGAATCCAGTTACTGGAGAGGCGCTTAGCTGAGAAATGCCAGAAGCTGTCTGCTGCCCAGAAAGTATTAGCTATCCTGCTTTGGTCCTATGCCCTTGGTCTATGGGAAGAATTTCTCATTTGCTGAAATAACTTAGACATTCATATATTCACTGAAACCTTGGAGTCACTAATTAAAGTGAGATAACACTCTCCAAAACAAGGCGAGGAAAAGGACAACAATCCTTCACTCAGCAGGTCAGGAAAATTAGAGATGTTGTTGAATTTAAATCTAATCTCTCTTGCTAGAAGGTTCCTTGAAGGAGTGTGTCATGTGTCGTATACTAAACAAAGTCATATTAGAGCCAGTCCTTGCTGCCTGAATTAAGTGGTCAGTTTGGGACAGTGATGAGTTTCACAAAATACCTACTTGTAGAGGTAAGGACTCGGTCTGAGATCCACTCAGTGTAATGTCTTGTATATTTTGGGAGAAGGGGGGTGTGAAAGGCACAGGAGAAGGAAAAGAAACATGAGGGCTTCAGTTGTGGGAGATTCTGTGGGAAGAAGGCAGCTGAAATCCAGGTCAGAAATCTGGGAGAGGCAACAAGTAACGGAGGAGTGTGGGTCAGAGGAGTGCCAGCCTGAACGTGACTGTGGCCAGAGCAGGAAGCAGCCTGCTGGCGCCCGAGTCTGCATGGCTGGATCAGGATGTGCTTGCGTTTCCCAGCGAGGAGGTGGATGTGCACACCAGCTGTAGGAGCAAGAATGGTGAAGCGGGTGTCGGTGAAATTTCATAGGATTGAAAGGTTTTGACATAATTTGGAGGGGGGAGCAGTATGGCGGTGATGCATTAGAAATGGGGGAAGTTAATTTAATATCCATGGTTTGGAGACTATTAATAATAACCAGGATGGATGGAGAAGGGCAGTGGAGCACATGTACGAAGTTAAGAGTTTGGAGAGGGGACCTAAGCAGAGCGGGAATCCCTCTGTGCTGACAGTCATCCTGGTCCCCGTTCCCCTTGCCATTTCTGTGTGGACCATCTCTCCCTTATTGTCCACCACCATTTCAGGATCACACTCTTAATGTGAATGAAAACAGTACAGGAATGTAAGGGTTAAAACGGCTATTTGAAACCCATCAGGGGGGTGAAGGGGAGAGCAGGAAGTGGAGGTGAGAAGCAGTAAGGGAGGTGATACCCCAGCTACCTCTCAGTATCTCTCCTCTGTCACTTTAGACAGGAATTTGTAGTGACAGATGATGGGGTCTGTTCTCAGGTCCCGGAATCTGGGAAGGACTTGAAAATGCCCATCGAGGAGACGGCCTCCTTGGGAGCAGCCAGAGAATCACTGAGATCCCACCTGAAACAGGGGGTTCATCCAGAAGAATGGACTGTGAAGGGGTCACAGAGCTCACCCCAGAGACCGTGGGGACAGTCAGAAGGTAAGCAGAAGCCTCTGCCCTCCCCCAAGGTGTGAGGGACAATCATCTCTCGGAAATGCAGGTCTGAGCTCCTGCAAGTTGGCCCCTGGGTTCCAGATTAAATGCCTTTGAGATACATCCAAAAATCAAGTTTTCAAATTATAGTTGATAGTACTAGCACTTAAAATGTGGGTGGAGATCCTTTATGTGTTAGCTTAATTCTCTCTTATTACAAGTTAATTCTATTGCTTCTGAATCAGGTGTTACTAAAGGTGAGCATAATTACCTCACCTTCTACAGAGCGGTTCTTCATGAACTTGAATACAATCCCCTTCCATCCAGCTTAATCTCTTCCAAAATACATTTCTCCTATTCGTTTTTCCTTTCTACCAGTGCTTTTTAAAAAATTTGTCCTAATTTTTTAGAAAAAGGTTAATTAAAAATTTAATTAAATTTAATTGATCTCAAATTCATCACCTAATGTAAAATTAGCCACTCAAGTGAACCATTCAGTTGCATCTAGTACAGTCACAATGTTGTACTATCACCACCTCTGTCTCATTCCAAAAGTTGCATCCTCCCCAAAATAAACGCCATGCCCATTAAGCAGTTGGTCCTCATTCTCTCTCTTTGTATTTGCCTGTTCTGAACATTTCATAGAAATAGAATCCTACAATATATGACCTTTTGTTTCTAGCCTCTCTCATTTATCACGTTTCCAGCCTACGAAGTATCACTACTTGGTTTGTTTTGGGGGCTGAGTAATATTCCATTGCACAGATAGACCAAGGCTCTATCTTTCTAAGTCTCTTTCTGTGAAGCACTTTGGCTGCATACATTTCTAGATTATCTAAAGGCCACTGCTGCCTTTTCTGTGTAATTCAAAGCTGCCCTTACAGGTTTGTAAGTAATTATTTTAAAGCCACCTTATCTTTATTTAACTCAGATCCTAAAGAAAAGCACTGTGTCTTCATGCTGTTTAAAAAGGCAAGCTTCTGTTGATGAAATGAGAAACAGTCTTAAGAGTTTATCTGCTTTTGTATTTTTTGGGGGGGTAGGAGTTTATTAATTAATTTATTTATTTTTGCTGTGTTGGGTCTTCGTTTCTGTGCAAGGGCTTTCTCTTGTTGTGGCAAGCGGGGGCCACTCTTCATCGCGGTGTGGGGGCCTCTCATGTTGCAGAGCACAGGCTCCAGACACGCAGGCTCAGTAGTTGTGGCTCATGGGCCTAGTTACTCCACGGCATGTGGGATACACCCAGGCCTGGGCTCGAACCCGTGTCCCCTGCATTAGCAGGCAGATTCTCAACCACTGCGCCACCAGGGAAGTCCCTGCTTTTTGTATTTTTTAAGTGAAGTAAATACACTATCAATATGTTAGAAAACTTTGCCATTTAGAATTTATTTACTTTTTTTTTTTTTTTTGCGGTATGCGGGCCTCTCACTGTTGTGGCCTCTCCCGTTGCGGAGCACAGGCTCCAGATGCGCAGCCTCAGCGGCCATAGTTCATGGGCCCAGCTGCTCCGTGGCATGTGGGATCTTCCCGGACCGGGGCACGAACCCTCATCCCCTGCATCGGCAGGCGGACTTGCAACCACTGCACCACCACGGAAGCCCCAGAATTTATTTACTTTTAATCCTTGGGAACATCTGTGCTCTTTGGTGTGTGATTTCTGAGGCTCTGGGGTCTGAGTAAAGGGGGCAGGACTCACTGTGTTCCATGTTCTGCAACCTCAGCTCACCGTACCTGTGGGCTGCTCCCAAGTGGTGAAACCTCCCCAGGGGTCAAGTTCCACTAATAAGTTATCAAAATGTACCATTTTCTTTGTACTATTCTTGAAGATGGGGATCTGGAAAAGAATGTATTATCTTGGTCTGAAAAAAAAGAATCGAATTCCTGTGGTATTTTTAAGAGCACTATAAGGGATTTCCCTGGTGGCACAGTGGTTAAGAATCTGCCTGCCAATGCAAGGGACATGGGTTTGAGCCCTGGTCCAGGAAGATCCCACATGCCGTGGAGCAACTAAGCCTGTGTGCCACAACTACTGAGCCCATGTGCCACAACTACTGAAGCCTATGCTCCTAGAGCCTGTCCTCTACAACAAGAGAAGCCACTGCAATGAGAAGCCCACATACCACAACAAAGAGTAGCCCCCACTCGCCGTAAGTAGAGAAAAGCCTGTGCATAGCAACGAAGACCCAGCACAGCCAAAAACTAGATAAATAAATTAAAAAAAAAAAAGCATTATAGTCATCTCTGAGTGGTTGGGCAATGAGACATTCCCTCCCCTTGCTCCCAAGTATTCTATTAAAATTTTTTAAAAATATACTATGCACATATTTCTTTAGAATGAAAAAACCTTTTTTTAAAGCTATTATGTCAGGAGAGATCTGGTGAAAGGAACTTCTTAACACATAGGCCATTGGCTGTGGCAGTGGTCCTGAAACTTGACTATGCATCAGACTCACCTGAGGGCGTGTTAAACAGATTCCCAGGCCTCACCCCCAGAGTTGCTGATTCATTATATCCCAGTGGGGCCCAGGAATATGCATCTCTGATGAGCTCCCAGGTACTGCTGAGGCTACTGGCCTGGGGACCCCACTCACAACCTCTGCTCTGTGGCTGTTATGTGGAGACTGCCCTCTAACAGTGGCTGTTTTCTCCCCTAGCCTGGCTTACTCTGCAGGCTCCCAGGAACCTTCCTCAGAGGAGGGGTCTTGGAGACCAGGAGACAGGTGCTGTGCTCCACATAGCTGGGGCCCAGGTGAGCTATGGTGGATTTGTCTCTTGAAGTTCCCCTTTCATCTTGCGCTCACTCTCAGCCTAAAGTCCCTTCTTTTCTAGAAATGCTGGAAAGATTTTTACATGGTCCAGTGAGTTTCTCTTGGGTTGTTTCCTTGTTCTGTCCACTGACATCATCATATGGCTCTTTACCCATCCCGATCCTTCTCTTGGAGGCCTGACCTCTCCCTGCCTTGCTTTGCCCCTGATCTGATACCCGTGGTCCTGTCTCTGCCCCACCCCAAGCTAGAGCGGTGCTATTTTATCGGTAGCAGCAGACCCCTGTGTTGTTACAGGGACACGCGACGTGTGAGGACAGAGCCATATCCCTCTGTCAGGAAGGGCAGATACACCTGGGCCCTGAACAGAGGGCCCTCTACAGGGATGTTACACAGAAGAGTGACAGAAACGACTGGCTGGGTAAGGATCCACATTCCCTCTAGGTCCAGAGTGAATGTGTTCAGTTGTCTGGAGACGGAGAGACCAAGAGAACCCAAGAGGAAAGGAGACAGAGAGGCAGTGGGGAGCCTGTTGGGTGGGGGGAAAGAAGGAACAGGAACATACTGAGAGGTGACAAGAGACACAGAGAAAGGAAGACACAGAGAGGGACAGAGTGATAGAAGGAAGGGAAAGCACGGGCTTATGACAGGGGCAGTGGGGACAGAGCGTGTGGGAGGCAGAGGATGGGGGGGAGGGAAGATAGCAGCTAGGGAGGCACAGGCTGTGCTGGGAACAGGGGAGAGATGAGTGAACTTGTGCTCACACACACAGCTGTGATAGGTCCTGGGGAGCAGAGGAGACTGAAAGACAAGAGAATCCAACCATGATAGTCTACTTCTATGCCCAGGCCCTTGAGGAGGCAACCAGAGCCCTTTTTCAGAGTCTCTGGACCGATCTCTTGCCTTTTTTCAAATCAGTTTTGCCCCATCTGGGCTGCTCCTCCTCAGAGCAGCCTCCCCGACCATCAGATTCAGAGACAGATGCTCTGCAGCCTTGATGTCTCCTCCCTGCATCTCCACATGCAGGGTTGCTCATTCACGGTTGGAAGGATATCCTGGGCTGGATCAGAGAACACGCAGGGACCCCAGATATGCAGGGCTGCAGGGCAAGGAAAAGGCCTAAGACTTCCACAAGGGAGACTAGAGTGAAAGCCCATGAGACACCAGCAAACAGGGAAGAAGAAATCAAGGGTGAAGCACAAGAGCCAGACTCAGCAAATGGGACAGAGCCTGGCCCACCCTGGGCGGCCGAGGACACCAGGACTCTCCTGTCTGTTCTCAGCAGCCTCGGTTTTATGAGAAACGGCAGGAGCACCAGCAGAGCAGCCAGCTACATGGGGAAGTCGCTGAGTTCTTGTGTGAACGAGGTTTCCACCAGACTCTGGAGCAGCATGAACCAGTTCAGAAGCCTCTGGGCCAGTGACTGTCGAAGGAGGGGAGGCTGCAGCCAGGCACCCTGTGCCCTTCAGGAGGAGAAGGAAGCTCTGCTGGCCTCACAGGGCTCCTCCAGTTCTCCCAGGAGCTCGGCAGACAGGGCTGTTGAGGCCAAAGGGCCAAGCCAAGGGCCATGGAAGCACAAAGAGGTGAGGCTCGAGGACACAGTGGGGGGCTCAGACAGCTACAAATTTTTTTTTTTTTTTTTGCGGTACGCGGGCCTTGCACTGTTATGGCCTCTCCCATTGCAGAGCACAGGCTCTGGACGCGCAGGCTCAGCGGCCATGGCTCACGGGCCCAGCTGCTCCATGGCATGTGGGATCTTCCCGGACCGGGGCACGAACCCGTGTCCCCAGCATCGGCAGGCAGACTCTCAACCACTGCGCCACCAGGGAAGCCCTGAGACAGCTACAAATTTGACAGGAAGCAGCCAGTCCAGGAAACTGGAGCCCCCACACCTACAGCCAGCTCCAGAGCCACTTGGGTGAGGGCCTCTCGGCACACATGTCCTGGTACTGTCACCTGTAAGCAAACCATGCCACCACTTTGTGCCTTGTCTTCCAGCTGTAAGTTGAGGGCTGTTCCTGTTCCCTCACTGCTGGGGAAATGCTGGGATGAAGGCTCTAGTGGACACCCAACATAAAGCCATTCACTCGGCCACCTGCAGGTTACACACAGGGAAAAGCAGTACCTAAACCATTATTTTGTCTTGGTAACCCAGGGGATTTTCTTTTGAGTTGTGAAATTGTAAAGCCAAAGCCTGGGCTGTTTCTGTGACCTAAGAAGTAAATTGTGTGAGTAGGTGTTATATCTAGATTTTGTTAATGGAACATAAAAGAACGAAGCTAATGTTAGCCTGGGGAAGGAGCACTGTGTTCTCTGTGGAAGGTGGGTGATGTCCTAGCTGGAGCCGCTGGGTGGATTCAGAGAGCTGTCATCTTAGTCTGGGAATCAGGTTCCATTGTAGCTGCAGGGCAATGGGGCAGGATAAGAGTGATGGAGCATGTGGGAACAGAGGGTGGGCTGCACTTTTAATTTGGGTTGCAGGGTAGTTCTCACCGAGAAAATGACATTAGAGATGTGAAGGAGAAGGGGTGAACTGTGTGGCTCTCTGGGGAGACTGTAACAGTCGGAGGGGATCACCAGTGCAAAGGCTCTGAGCTGGAGGAGCCTGGGCAAGGAGGCCAGTGTGCCTGGTGCAGACTGAGAGGGGATGAGAGTAATAAACGAGGTCAGAACCAGATCACGTGGGGCAGCACTACTGAGTGAAATTGAGAGCAAGCGTTTAGAAACTTTTATAGCAATTTCACACTGCTGCACCATCTAACTGCATATTCAATGTATTTTGAAAAACAAAAAAACCTGGTTCTTCACAGATACTTTGAGAAGCACTAACCTAGGGCCTCAGGCCCTACATAGAGGACTTTGTAAGGACTCTGGCTTTTTCTGTGTGAAATGGGGTAGCCTTGCAGGATTCTGAGCAGAGGAGTAATAGTTTTAAAAGGATCACGTTGAGAATTTCAATTTATTTGACATTTAACTCTATTTAAACACGTGTTTGTGTCTCCGTTTTGTTACGGAGACCTTTGGAGGACTGTGGTCTTCTTGAAGGCAGGGTCCATGTCATATGACAGTTGCATTTCTCAGAAACTGGCCTGCTGGCACTCACACAGGTTAGTTGAGTTGAATGAAGAGGAGGGGCCCACTCTGACAGCTGGATTGAGAGAGACTGTAGGAGGTCCAGAGGAGAGTCAAGACCAGGTAGGCGGCCACTGCAGTAATCCAGGCACAAGAAGACAGTGGCTCGGAGCAGAGTGGACTAGAGGGTGATGAGAAGAGGCTGCGTGCCCTTCAGAGCATCGTGACCAGGTGTGATCAGAATGCATTTGCTAGGACGGCTCTAGACAAATGAGCCCTCAGCCACCGGCCCAGATGGGCAGCCCCTGAGGGGCCTGTGCTGAGTGTTCTTGAGTAACCAGCCTTCCTGAACTGCTCTTCCCAGACCTTTACTACTTATTCTCACCTTGGGACACTACCTGCAGTAATTGTTTCTTGCATACACAGGGATGACAAGAGATACAAACAGATGTACAGGAGCCAGATCAGGAGGGACTCAGACATCAGAGGTGGGACTTAGCAGAAGTATCCTATCCTCTCTTGTGAATCTTTGCTTCCATCCAAGTCTTACCTGTTCACCAGGTCCTCTTATATGGCCACTCACCCTCAGAGATTCCCACCACCCTGGAGACAGACAAGCACAAGGCTTATCGTGAATCATCTCTCAGGGGAAATTAGTGGGACTCAGGATAAAGAGAAATAAAAGCAGAAGCTTTGGTAAAGACTCTACAACCCCTCCTCAGCTGGAGAGGATTTCACTGGAAGTTGTTGCTTTAGGAACAAGCGCACAGTGAGATCTCCCCAGGAACAACAGTAGCCAGCATGGCATAATTTGAGAGACTAGGATGTGGCTTCCTGGGCTGCTAAAATCCTGCACTGCGGTATTGGCCCACCCTGCTCTGGTCACTGAGTTGTCTCCTGGCAGCAAGTGTGCACTGGGGCTATGAAGAGACCAAGACACTCCTGGCCATTCTCAGTTTTATGAAAAACTCCAGACCCATCAGCAGAACAGCCAGATCTCCAGGGCCTTGGTGGAACAACTCCAGGAGCAAAGCTTTCTGCAGACCCCAGAGCAGAATCACGCCAAGTTCAAAAGCCTGCAGTCAAGTTCCCGCAACTTGAGGAGAGGCTATGTGCCTGAGCCTTGTATCTTTTACAAGGAAACTGATACCCTTTCCAGCCCCTGGGCCTCTGCACCTACTATGGCAAGCAGTACTGATCCTGGCCAAGAGGGAAGTTGAGGATAGAGAGCTGAGTCAGCAGAATGGGGGGCCCACAGAGGCTGGAGAAGGTACCACCGTGGATGGTGAAGACTGGCAGGAAGAGGATTTCAGGGATCCTGGCCAGGAGGGTTGGCCTGCCAGACCTGTTCCCAAACAGACGTGGTAAGACTCTTGGCTTTGACTCTTGGTCAAAGCATGGGAAAGTCCACTTAGGGCCGTTAGCCTGGCATCACCAGAGAGCCATTCTGCTCCTGGCCTTGTCATCATCTTGATGTAGACCTGACCTAGGCCAGAGAGTCTTGGTTTTCATGGTTAAGGATTATGTCCTTTGCACTTCAGAGCCCCGATTTTGCTTTGCTGGCCTCTTTCACAGGGTCCGTGTCATTCTTCCCCATGGATTTGCACTTACTTTGCTTCCATAGATGGCCAGTCAGGTCTCCAGCCCAGACTCTCTCTCCTTCTCCAGCACTGACCCTCCTTTCAAATCTAAGCCTGGGCTTCCCAGATGCCCAGCAACTTGCCTTCTTCCTGTTTGAGATGGTTAAACCCGGGGTGGCCTTTTGTTACTCTTCCCAGAAGCCAGGCCATTCAAGAACTGAGACAGATGACAAAGAGCTTGACTCCTCGACTCATTTTGTCGTGTCAGAACATCCAAAAAGAGGTGCAATAGGAGCAAAGTGGGTGGATGGAGTTTTGGGTATATTTACCTGTGATCATAGAATTTGGAGCTTAAAAATATTACAATTGGAAAATAAAACTCAGGTTTTTAATTAGCAGAAGCCTGAATCACATGAGAATTCCAATTAGTTTTTCTTCTTAATGGTAGTTTAGTTGTAATTCTTTCCTCATTCCATTGTTTTCCTGCTCCACAGTCTGATGTATTTCTTTTTTTTAAAATTTTTAATTAATTAATTTATTTATTTATGGCTGTGTTGGGTCTTTGTTGCTGCACACAGGCTTTCTCTAGTTGTGGTGAGCGGGGGCAACTCTTCATTGTGGTGCACGGGCTTCTCATTGCGGTACTTCTCTTGTTGCAGAGCACAGGCTCTAGGTGCGCAGGCTTCAGCAGTTGTGGCACACAGGCTCAGTAGTTGTGGCTCGTGGGCTCTAGAGTGCAGGCTCAGTAGTTGTGGCTCGTGGGCTCTAGAGTGCAGGCTCAGTAGTTGTGGCACAAAGGCTTAGTTGTTCCGTGGCATGTGGGATCTTACTGGACCAGGGCTTGAACCCGTGTCCCCTGCATTGGCAGGCGGATTCCTAACCACTGCACCACCAGGGAAGTCCCGACAGTCTGATGTATTTCTGTTCTTGCAGGTATTGAGATCAAGAGTGGAATTACAAAAGAGAATTGGAAATGGGATGATACAGAGGAAGCAGAAATGAGCAAGCCTTTTCAGAGAAAGTCCAGTGAAGTATTCTGGCATTCTGAGCTAAAAAGAGGCTGGGCGGGTGCTCCAGTGTCAAGAAGGCAACGAAGATGTTCTCCAGGAGAGAGTGATGAGAAACCCCCATCCCAGAAGAGGATGAGTCACCAGAGACTTTGTACTGGGGAAAAGGCCTGTACACATTTCCTGTGTGGGAGAAACTGCTCTCAGAGTTCTCCCTTTCACCACCAGCCAGTCCCCAAAGTGGAAAAAGCTTCTAAATGTCACGAATGTGGGAAAAGCTTTAGCCGAAGTTCTTATCTTGTTCGACACCAGAGAATCCACACGGGAGAGAAGCCTCACAAGTGCAGTGAGTGTGGGAAAGGCTTCAGCGAGCGCTCCAACCTCACTGCCCACCTAAGAACTCACACAGGGGAGAGACCCTACCAGTGTGGGGAATGTGGGAAAAGCTTCAACCAGAGCTCCAGCCTCATTGTCCACCAGAGGACCCACACAGGGGAGAAGCCTTATCAGTGCACTGTCTGTGCAAAGAGATTCAACAACAGCTCCCAGTTCAGTGCTCACCGGCGAGTCCACACTGGGGAGAGCCCACACAAGTGTGGGCAGTGTGGGAAAAGCTTCAACAATGGCTCCCACTTGAGTGCCCACCAGAAAACCCACAAGGGAGAAGCCTTACCAGTGCTCTCAGTGTGAGAAAATCTTCACTAAGAACCCTTCCCTCATCCACCATCTGGGGGTACACACAGAAGAGGTTCCCATATCCCAGGAAGGAAGGCATGTGCTATGAATGTGGAAGAAACCCGACGGATCAATTCCTTACGTCAACATGTGTTTCTCGGCGCTTCCTTCTGCTTGTCGAGAATTCTACTGGGCAATCCCCAGCTTAGCTATAGGTTTATTGACAACCGGATCTTAAGAACCATGTCCAGGAATAGGAATCAGGGTAAGAATGCTGAACTCTTTCTGGCTCTGCTTGGGACTCCTGGGTCCTGCCTCATTGTCGATTTCAATTCTGTTTGAAGGGGACAAGGCTACAGGATCCATAAGTCCTGCCAGGAAACCTGGGTATGACTGTTCCCAACAGAGAATGGGGGGGCTAGTGGCCTGAGCACTGTTTCTGGGCCATGTCAGAGAAGAAATTCTCCACCCTCATGGGAAGAACATCTAGAAGTTAACAGCCTGGATGTATTCTAAACCAACAACTGACCTCTGACACCTAGTGTTAGGTACTACTGCTAACTTCTGAGCAGATCACTACTCTGTAATCCAGCCACCACCAAAGAAAGAACAAAGGAAAGGAAGGAGAGGTTAAGCCACTGGGCAATATTAAATCTGTTTCCCTTGGTGACGTAATCTCAGAGCAAGGGTAACATCTAGGTTAATCTTTGTAAGATTCCTCATTTTACCATCACCTCCACCCCGGTTCCTGGTTTATTGTCTCTTATAGTTAACACTTGCTACAAGCTTATAACCATTACCACTTCTTTTGACAATAAAGGTGTTTCTCCCTCTACTTCTTTGGCCTTTGGTTGAAATTTTCTCCATTAGAAACTTTATTCTCATGCAGAAGACTGCACGGTCCTCAAGAGGATCCAAGGGTAGAACCTGCTTCGGGACAGTAGGACATGCAGAGAAGGAATAAGGGGCAGGAAATAGGGAGAGAAGGAATACAGTTGGGTTGGGGAGTAAGGAAAACACAGGGGCTGCAGGCAGCTCTGACTACAGGTGAAAAGAAGGCTGGGTGTGAGGAGCATGAAGAGCCAAAATTAAAGCTTACTGATCCACAACAAGGCATAGATGTTTAAGCTTTTGTGAAATCTCTATGATAAAATGTGAAGGATGGGTAAGTTGTCCATGGTTCTTGGCCTGTGCATGCAAGTTGTCAGTACCTTGCCTAAGCTTTGTTGAAAAGCAAGTGTCGTGGTCTCTGCTTTAAGCCTTCTTGAGGAATTACAGATGAGCAAAGGAGAATGTATACTCTACCTCAAAGCCAAAAAAAATTTTTTTTTAATTTAGAAAAGGAGAAGCAAAGGCAGGACAGAAAAATATACTTCAGTGTTTCCTCAGCTTGAGTCCCGCTTGGCCCATCCCACAGTTCTCTGCATACACGGTCCTTGAACATGGCCCAGTGGAAAAGCTATGCAGGTCAGTTCCCAGAGTCACATACTTACCTCTGCTCTACAGAGAGTGGGAAAAAATGATACCTTAGGAAAGCTCAGGCAAAGGCAAAGAGATGGGCTTGAATATGACCTGTTGGGGGACAGCCTGACTTCACTGGAGATCATGGTGGGGAAGAGGGGGACAGCCCGGGGTGGATCAACTACTGAAGGGCTTTGTACACCAGCTCAAAGAAGCTGGCTTTGATAAGTGAGGAAAGCCAGTGAAAGTCAATGGAATCGCTAAGGAAGCACAGGTACACAGGCCTCACAGGCAGGTTCCTCCCACTCCTGGGTCTGCGGTAACCAGGGAAACTGGGATGCAACTGTTGAACTCCTTGCATTCTTAGATTGCCTCCACCGTCCAAACTGCTTTATCCTGTAGTCTGCTGGGTAGGAGAAAGAACACAGAGTACTAGAGCGCCCAGCCCTTGCCTGTCAGCCTCTCGGGAGGGTCTGGAGCAGACAGTAAGAACTGGAGAATACATCCAGTTATTCATTCATTCAGGAAACATTTGATTGCCTATAAAGTACCAGGTATTACACAGAAGCCAAATACAAAGCAGTGAACAAAACACACTGTATCTTCCTTCCAGAACCAGCCTTACTGGACCCCTCAGAAATACAGCACAAGTCAGGCAGCACACCCAGCCCCCAAGCCCCAAGATCTGAGTTCCAGCTCCGCAGGGCCACTCTTCTAAGTTCCGAGTTCTGATAAACCCAACCTGCTTCTGAGTTCTGATAAACCCAACCTTTCCCCCTACTCCCTGTGTGGTCGCTGCTTCCTACAGTTACCACCTCTGTTACCTTAGTGTCTAGGTCCCACTGACAAATCAGCCTGATCACTGCACCAACCACTTGAGAATAAATTTGAAGTAGGTTGTACAAAAGGCAACACCCCCAAGTCTATCCATTTCCTCTGACATGTAACTTATACTCCTGCTTTGCTTCAGCCCTTCAGATATCCATTGAAAAGCCAGTTTTCCCCTGTACGTTTAATACTGGGGCTCTCCATATAGTGTCTGTACATCCCTTCCTCACTGAAACGTTTTAACTCATTGATACAATTTTTCAATTGACAGCATGCCTTTTTTCCAAGGACTGCTAACCACTTGCCACAGACAGGATCAAATAAATATTCTCACAACCCAGAGAAGTAGCGCGAAGCCTGCACACCATTCCCTTTTCACACATCTGCTGTGGTTCCTCAGCCTAAGGTGGCTGATGGGTGGTCACAGCCAAAGCCAGAGCTGGGCCCCTCAGGCCTCCTACCCAACTTCCTTTCCTCTTGCCACCTCTTGTCTGCCTCTCCTGTGAGGGACTGCCTTACCGGTCAGTTTGGGAACAGCCAGGACTCCTGGGGTGCTGGGTGAGACTGTGCCCATGTCATCGCTGACACCATCACAGGCGAATCCTCGCTTTCACCAGCCTCCTCACAGTCCTGATGCTCGTCCTCGGCTCGGCTTCTGGGTAGAGACAAAGAGAAGGACTGAGTGCAGGTCACAGGACACTAGCAATTAACCTGGCTACTCCCTGTGATATGGAAGTTAGCCTGAAGGATTTTGAACTTGTGCCACCCTGTTCTGGCATCTGGAGAAAGCTGTGGTCCTGAAGCTGCTCGGGCATTCCCTGTACAGTTGGCCATTCTAGTGGCACTTCTGGAGTTTTTGATAAACTGGGGATTTACTGAGATTTCCAAGTAAAGTCTGGGTTTCCTGGTAGCCCCAATGCACACCTGCTATCATAGGTTTAAAGTGACTTGCATAGTGACTAAAGTGAAAGAGCTGGATTTTGAACCTGGGTCAGATCAGTTTCAAAACCTTTAATTTTTCACTCTCACTCTCAACACTCTT